GGGGGGGGGGGGGGGGGGACGACACTGAGGGTTGCGATCCGTTGCCGGACACGGAAAAAAGACAAAAAAAAAAAACTTTTCTTAAGCCGGTACTATTGTTTGCAATTTCTTTTACCATGATAAGACAAATGTCTACCTGAGTAGTTTCCATTACCCAGGGAGATATCACCAGAGCTAATAAGAGTTTACAATTGGGCCATTTGAATTTCATCTCTTTTCTTGTGCTTTACCTACTTTTCTTTCTTTTTTAAAGGCACTTTTTAAAATTGAAACATAATCGCTTGTATGTATCTGTGAGGTACGGCATTGAATATCCATACCTGCGAGCAGTATGTGATGCTCAAATCAGGATAATTAGTATATTCAACTTTATACAATGTAATCATTTTTTGTGGCCCTTTACTAATTTCTCAATAACCTTCTTCCTCTCCCTTTTCCACTTCTAGTAACCTCAGCTCTGTTCTCTCCTTTTGAAAGTTCAAAGTACTATTTTCACCTACTTTTCAGTGAAGTTTTTAATTAGTAATAAAATGGCCAAAAAGTAGGCAAGAGGGTGAAAGAAGGGAAGTAATTCCAAACAGCTTCCTCAGCTGTTGATTAAACATTTCCATTTAAAAACAGAAGCCATATCCATGATGCTTTAACAAAGCATCGTACTTCAAAAGTTCTGTAAAATGATTTTATTTTCATGACATTAGTATTTGGAGCAGTTTCAGATATCTGAGTGAAAATATGTTATTTCAGATTAAGGCATTTCTGGGAAAATAAGTTTTCTTAATATAATCTTCCATTATAAATTGTAAATATTGTACATATGAGGAGTCTTCAAAAAGTTCATGAAAGGAGTTATATTATCTCTTAATTTTATTTTTCCATGAACTTTCTAAAATACCCCTTGCATATATTTTTTAAAGCCACATATCACTTACCTCAGGAAAGATGCAAAACATAAAAGCACACAATGAGACTAAATGGAGTATCATTAATTGTAATGATTAAAGCATATAGCATTGAATGAAGCCACTGCATTTATAAGTGTGGAGCTCATAACTTTGTTCTTTAAAGAGAAGCAAAATAATTCATTACTCAAACACTTGCATTTACCTTTGATATTTGAACTTTTCAAATTACTAATTGCTCCTTTTAAATTGTTTCCAATTATTCATTATGAAAAGGAGAACAATAACAACAGCATAAAACCCAGAAATTATTTGAAAAGGTCACACATGTATATTTCCTTGTGGTTTTAAAAAAAGGCTGTGGCATATAAAACTTTCACACTGGCAGCAACTAAAACAACTCCTTGTTTTAGTATGAAAACAAATCCCTAATTTAAAACGTACGAGAATGATCTCCCTGGCAATGGCATGTGCCACAACCTCCCCTGTCCTTTACTTTTCTATATTGAGGAAAAATCAGTCCCTAAGAGAAAAGAAACACCTTCTCTGAAAAGCAGAAAAGAGGGCGAGTATATTTCTTCTTAAAGCAACTGTATGCCCTGCTCCTCAGATCTTCCAGGGTGTGAACTTTTTGTTTGTCTTGTTTTCAAAAGTATCATAGGATCAGAGAACAAAGATATGACCTCAGGTAAGGGAGATGGTAAACTAAAATGACTCAAATTTTTCAGTGGTTGCACAATGTGTACTATGCTAAGGATAGTGAACATAAGTTCCCCAGACTAGCTCACTCTTTGTTGAGGTTTGATTCTATGTCTGAAAGAACCTTCCAGACATTCTGGTGGTAGGATAAGCACCTTACATCTTCATGACAACTTAAATGAAAAAGCCTACGACTAATGAGAACATCTTTCCTAACACAGGATTTTTGTTTCCTGTGGATCCAATGTGAGTGGGAATGTCCACCTTACGGAGCTACTCACTTCTGCTAACTGGCAACACTTTACTATCACAGTGAATCCAAATGTCACCTGGCTTTGCCTCCTGTCTGCTGAACAAATCCAAAAAAAACAAGATAACCCTGCAATTATAATAAGGTCATGGACCCCTCTCCTGTGACCCTGGAATTTCACCAGTGTGATTCCAAAGAGCTGGTTTTGGGATTCAGGCTCTGGCCCGGCCACCCAAAGGCATAGATAATTTTGATAGAGGAAACACCACTGAAGATCAGGGGATCAATTGCGGGCGGCGGATAACCTGGTAGGAAGCCCAAGAAGAACTTCTGGTGCAGGGAAGGAGTACCAGAAGAGCTATAAGCTGGGCTTAGCCTGCACTCAGTGTAAGCTTTATCAGGGAGGAAGACATGGCAGATGTCCTGTTCACCACAGCATCCTTGTTTATTTAGCATATAGATGTCGCAAAATAGAATCATTGAATAAATTCATTTTTTCATCTATGAATTCCAACTATAGAAGTGGCTAAATAAGGAAGTGGAATGCATCTCTTCTTTGAGGTGGAGCAAAGAAACTGGAATGGGAAAAAATGAGACTTTCCCAACCTGTGAGACTACTTACTTAATTTCTGTTTTTGTTTTTTAATTTTGTAGCAAGAATAACTTCAGCAGTGGGAAAGCAACTAAAAAGTAAAAAGTGCCTTGAAAATGCTCTAAATCCAGACAGAAATAAGTGTTTGAAGGGACAGTTTATCAGGTTTATAAACCGAGACCTGATAATACCTGAGACTTGTTGCTAATCATAGCACGTACAAGGAACAAAACCCAACTCAGCTCTTTTTACTATCAGGAGAGCCAACAGATCAGATAGATGTGCAAGGCCCAATTATCCTTATGACTATTTTTAATGCTGGTCTCTATGAATTCTGGCTAATTGGACCTGAAAAGTCCTTTGTGAGCTAACCATTGTGAGATATGTAGACACATACCAATATAATCCAAATGTGTGTTATATACTTTTATATGGTTACCTGGGCCTTAATATAGAAGAGATGACTTAAAATATAACCTGGGTTTAAGAAGATAAACCTAACCAGATTTCTGACAATTCAGCCTACCATAGCTCACCTGCTGAGGAGTTCATTCTTCCTAATGACAGTCCACAGCAGAAGAAGGTACAGGAATAGTCAGGGACGAAGGAGGACAATGGTAAAGAAAAGCAAAAAGATACAAAATCAAAAAAGATGACATGGGGACAGGAAAAATGTACAATACTTCCGACATGCAATCATTGATGGTGTTAGTAACAATACCAGATTAACAAGGTATGATGTTTACATTTTTAGATTAAATCTAAGTTTACAGAGAAAAAGTTAAAACAAAAAAAGACTTATGACACATGCATAGTTAGTCAAAAGAGGTTTGTTATAGGAAAAAAAAAATCTCTCACACATATTTGTCAACCAGAAAATAAGAAGAATAAAAACAAGATTATATCTATAAAACAATTCTTTTTCCAAACAGTAGCAAACAGTTTTTAAGAGCTAAGGTTTGTAAAATGCCATTCTATTATTTGAAGCACAGTCCACCGAACTTCGTAACAGTTCCTCTAACATCCTACATCTCTACCACCTAGCCATGGTAATAACCATCTTAGTTATTCAAGTCACCATCTTACTTATTCAAGTCACTTAAGTCTTTTCTTATAAAACAGGCTTATATGGAACGAATAAGTAAAAGCTTCCTAAATCCTCCCATCCCCCCACTGTACGCTGCCTTATTTATCCCTGGCCTTTATAAAGGAGAAACATCATGTTTTACCCTTAGCCCATATACATCACAATGCCCACTCTTTTCTTTTTATAGACCTGAGTCTTACAAAACAATGTTTCCATAGCTCTCATGTTTCCTGCATGGTCTGACCTTGCGATAAAAAGGCAAAATTAAGACGGTCATGCAGCTGCCTGTGAGTGAACTGCAGCTGCACCCAGCATTGTGTTTCTTGCAAATGTGAGAATATTTTTCTCTATTGTGTAAAAGGAATAATCATGAGACTAAAAATCCACCACTGTACAGTTTTAAATCTGATCATTTCTTAAAGATGACTTGACAATGACTTTTTGACATTTGCTGGAAACAAAAACACCACACAAGGAGGTTGTCATACCTTTCTTGGACTTTCCTGCATTTAACAAAAAACAAAAGGACAAAGATTTCATTCATCCAAAAGCTTGCAAAGGAACAGGTCACAAGTTGTATAAAAGCCAATAACCATTGCAACTTCAGGAGTGCAGTTCCTCGGCTCTGCGTTAAGCTCTGCTCTCAGAGTTCATTGTTTGCGTGACTCACATCAGTTCTATTACAACGGTGCTCACTGAGGAAGGCTTATACTTACACCACTGTCCTTGATGTATCCATTATGAATAGCAGCAAAAAAATGTCGAATTTAAGTTAATTGTACAAGTAAAAGAAAATGATAAGAGTCTACTAAATTCAAGTTATTAAAAATGTGCTAGGTACAATTTTTTCAAAACCATGGAATTATACTCACATTTGCTATTTTAATGAAGCCAACAAGTACTAATGAAACAATTCTAAATGAAACTATGATTCAATCCTCCTGGTCTTTGTGGGCCACCAGTAAGGGCTGTGTAGAAAATTCTGCCAATTTCAACTATTTACCATGGCTCTAAGAACTCCAGTCCCTGATCGCTCCTCCTCTGCTGCGGGGAGCCAAAGGCGGGGCTGGCCTCACATGACACATCTCCCTGGATCAACACACACATGACAGTTCTCTGTTTCTTCAGAAGCTGTCCTGGCAGCAGCACATGAAACTCTTTAACAGGAACACCCCTTTAGAGCTGCAGCAGAGTAAGACTGAAACTGCAGCCTTCTCAGGTGTACCAAAGACATATAAATGAAGAACAAGGGCACAAAAGGTAAATCAGAGACAACAGATTTTGCGAAGGGTCTATCCATAACGTGACCCAGGGAACTTGGCTGTTTTCCTCTGTGAAACTAGCATGGGGATTCCGTTATGTGAAGAAAAAGCAAAGGTTAGAAAAATAGAAATCAAACATTCCTTCAGTTTCACCATACTCTCACAAGAAAACTCTTACCTGATAATGTTAACAGCTCTTGATTTTTTACAAATCTATCCATTTGCTACTAAGGTCTAGTTTTTCTTACTCTCTGTTTTGAGAAAATACTTTCAACATAGAGTATACTAATTTGTGATCCCACCCTCTTTCCCAAGTGCTCGATCTTTCCCTAAATCACTGTAATAGGTAAAGCACATGAATATGCTGAATGGTCTTTGTTGATGTTGTGGTCAATTCAAGCTTTGATGTTTTCAGCCAGTGGGGAAAACACATTTAAAAAGAAGTCTATTAATATTACTGAAAATGCTTCAACAGAAAATAGACTTGACCCACCAGTTAATTGTGATAAATGAAAGCCAAAATAGAAAGGTTCATTTATCTTTATTATTTATAAATATTAAGAGATATTTTTAGCTTATTAAGAAATTATGAAAAAAAAAGCCAACTAGAGTTCAATTGAATGTACTTGATTCAATTATTACCAGTGTAAATCTTTCTGATATGAAGGTACTTCAAAAAGTTTGTGAAAAAATAGAATTAAAAGATAATACAAATCTTTCCAGAAACTTTTTGAAGTACCCTAATGCATTATAAATCTCTTATAAATACTACAACCTCTACTAACTCTTAAGTCACTTCTAGTAATGATTTGAAAAACTTATTCAAGTAATATATATTACATATACACACATGCAAATGTTATAAATACACACACATAAAGATCTATATATGTATGAGTGTTTGTGTGTATATACACTAATTTCCGTCTCACCTCCCCAATGAGAAACTAGTGATTATCCCTTGCACCATTAGCAGAGAGGCCAAGCAGTGAGAACTCAATTCCAGCCTGCTTAGAGGGAAGGGTTTCAATCCCATTAATGCTAGAACATATTTGGAAGCCAAATGTCTGCCATCACACCTTTTATATCCCCGTCATACCTACATCATTGCATTTACCACATTTTATTAAAATCATCTGTTAGGTATCCTTCTATAAGCATTTCAAAGGCAAAGATCATGTCATTCTTGGTATCTAGCACCATGCCTGCTTAAAAGTTATCACCAATATAAGTTGTTGACCCAAACTACTATATTAAAATAATAAATCTAATCCTCTCAACAAGAAGCTCACCTCTGGAACTACGTTATAGTAATTTCTTCTAACCCCACAAAGACTACTGAAGAACCCCTTTTAAAGGCAATGTATTATGACAAAGAAAATAAGCTGAGAGTCAAAGTCCACCTGAAACCTAACTACACTGTATAAAATCTCAAACGTACATTAAAATCCTTGAGGAAATTTGTTCGGGGCCACTAGTGCTCTACTCATATTTACTGTGTCAGTTCAATGACTATTTAGCACAATGCTGATTTCAAATAGTGATTCAGCCACAAATCAGGTACATGGATCTCAGTGGTCTCTCTTCTCCTTCTACCAATCAAATTGGAAAGTTAGTAACTTTCTAGGGGCCTTTCTGGTTTGAGAGTTCAATTGAATTTATAAAGTACAATGGGTGCTGTGGTTTAAGTGTGTTCCCTAGAAATTCATGTGTTGGAAATTTGGTTCCTGGTGTGGCAGTGTTGAAAGGTGCAGCTTTTACGTTGTGATTAGGTCATTAAGAGCAATTAATGCCACTCTCTCGGGATTGGGTTAATTTTGGCAGAAGTGAGGGGACCTCGCTTTTGTGGGACTGGATTAGTGACCTCAAGAGCGGGATGTCCTAAAGTGAGGCTGCTCCTCCTGTTTTGCCTTTTGCACGGCCCCATCCCCCTTCCCCTTCTCCACTGTGTTATGCACAGCAGGAGGCCCCACCAGAAGCTGACCAGAAGCAGACAGCCAATCTTGAATTTCCTGGCCTCCAAAATAACCTCTTTTCTTTATAAATTACCCAGCCTCATAGCCACAGAAAACAGACTAAGACAATGGGTATGTTTGAAAGGTACCAACTATATACATGAGCAAGAAACGTTACCTTGGTACAACAATAAGGATATATGTACAAGGCACTGTCAAAAGTTCATGGAAAATAGAACTGAAAGATAGTACAAATCCTTCCATGAACTTTTGGAAGTACCCTTGTACACATCCCTCCCCAAAGGAAACACATTAAGAGTAACATCCAGGACTTTGGTTGATTCCCTCTCTAATCATCCCCAACCCCATTCTCACTCCTTCTCCCTAACGAATTCTAATGCTTAACATAAGACCATGATATTTAATTTAAAAGGTACATCATACCTCTGAGCATCCTCCGGGATTCTGAGTCTTTGGTCATGGTTGCCAGCGAGTGAGGGAGCACACTGCCACAGCTGTTGCTCTGTCCTAGGGGCAGGTGAGCCTGTGACAACAAGGCGGAAGTGTTTCAGGCAAACTGTACCAATGGCCCTTTGGGAAATGGCCCCATCCCTGTGTCCACAGCCCCTTTTCAAGTGTAGAGGGTGTGAGGGTAGGTCTTTGTGTCCCATTTGCTGATGCTAAATGGTAAAGGCAAGTCACTGTCCCTTCCAAGAAGTTCCACAGCAGTCTCAACCTCACAGCACTTCCTCCAAAGGCAGCAATTCCAAAAATGAAGACAGGTGGGGAAAACATTGTCCAAAATCACCTGAGAGAATGACTGAAAGTTCTTCATGCATAACAAGCAGAGGGCAGGGCAGGGCCGAGACGCATGCACACCATGCAAAAGGACAGGGAAGATCTACATTTCCGCAAATGCATCTACCCTAGTTATCTAGGAGGCTGAAAACAACCCCATTAATAGCCCAGTGGTTTTATCATTCTTTTTAAATAGCAAATCCTTCATGTAAATAAAATATACTTAAACACCAATTTATAAAATAGATGAAAACAAAGTTACTCTGATTAAGTACAGGGGAAAGGTTCAAAAATCTGTCCCACTCAGAGCCTCCTTCTCACTTGCCTTGTTCTTTGTTTCTGCAGTGACCCTCAGAGGAGGGTGTAGGCATCAGAGCATATGGGTTCACATTCCAGCTCCACTACCTACCGAGGGTTAGTCGATTAGCTTCCTTACACCTCAGTTTATCCACACATATAATTGGGATGATAATTACTACCACTACCAAATAGTGTTGCTGGGTTTTAAAATGAGACAATCCACACAAAGGGCTGAGCCCAATGTCAGGAATGTAGAAATAACTCAATAAATGTTTATTGTTGTTATTCCTGGAACCCAGAGCCTATATCCTATCTTATTTCTAAAACTGGGATGTAGCCACGGGAGTCTGTCATATAAGTGAATGCCACCCATCACCTGTGTTGTGGTGGTAGAAAATACCCTGGACAACATTCTTTGGCCCCAGAGTGTACAATTCCAAATGTCCTCTGAATAGAATAGAAAATGCAATTTAGTTACGATGTCTGCTTCAGAAGCAAATTTAATAGCTTATTACTTAGCATTTCCTTGAAGGCCTTTGCACGTTCGTCAATACAGTGACAAGAAGACCCACGGAATGTGAAGCCTGTGGTTCTTCCCGTGTCCTACCTTTGGGGCGGTGCTTCTCCCCATAGTAGCACTGCTGAAATGTGGGGAGATGGAAGGTGTAGTTTTCTTTCGAGGCAAAGTGTCACTCAGATAGAGGCCTTCTTTATGCTGTTTTTTCCTTTCTTCCAGACTTCTAAAGTGCTTTAAATGCAAATGTAAAGTAAAACAGCAAAGCTTGACTAACTGAAATAGATCACTGAAGAAATGAAGAATTATGCATTTATGAAGAAGTTTTGGAATTTTAACACAGAATTATTTAAAAAAATTATTCAGCTTATACTTATGTTCACTAAGAGATTTGGGCTAGCATTTGATAAGATACTAGACAGTAGAAGAATTTACTACTGAACCAAGACAATTGTTTAAAAACCCATCTTTCACTTCTATAGTGCCTCACAAATTATTATGATGGTTGCCGTGTGGATGGCAAAATAGCCAGTGGACACAGCAAGTAAGCAGCTCTCCCCGTGTCTGTCTGGACAGTTCTGTGTGATGGCACAGATGCCCGTGTGAAGAGGACACGAAAGGGGAGAATGAAGAAGATGAAGAGGAAGAACGAGTAAACAGGGAAATTGAAAGTTGTGATAATATTCCAGTCACATAAACACACTCCAAATCCACATGAAGTTTCCATAGAAGGCATCCTTCTAGTTACTCTTTAATTTGAAAAGATCTTGGCCAAGGAGCCCCTATGCACTTAAAAATTCTCCAGTTGACTATTGCATCTTTTTCAGATTTCTAAGGCAAGATATTTCCCAACTTGACACTTACTCAAATTTTTCTTGTCCCCTCAAATGTCTTCAATAGTAAAGTGACTTCCTAATTAAAGATTCTTTAGGTTTAATCATTTTAATATTAAGCTCAGGCTTTTGAAATATATAAAAATTAATGCAAATATAGGTTACCAAATTTATAAGCAGCCCTCCAACATGATGATCACAAAAAATATCTGCATGTTAACTTAACAATTATTTGCTTATACTAGCTAATATATGAGCTTACTATGTGACAGATATGATGATTTATATACAATATCTCATTTGATTCTTATAATAATCCTGAACTGCAACCCTTATTACTATCCCTAAAACTACCCTATCTTCCAGATAAAGAATCTGGGGTACAGAGAGGTTAAGTAAACTTGCCCAAGGTCATGCAGCTAGAAAGTGACAAAGCTGGAATGCAGGGCCAGATAGTTCACACTATGATAATAATACTTTGCAGTTTGGCTGATTAATGCTCGTTTTAATTAGAAAAATGTTATTGGAACACTTTAACCTTTCTCCCACTAAAGACCAAATGTCACAAATTCTGAAATTGAAAACTTCCTAATATTCTATAATGGTAACAATAAAATAGTAAAGAAACCCGTTGAAAACACAGTCTAACAGATATTTGGCAGAAAACAGCTGGTTCGAAAACTGTAATTGTTTTGGTACTAGAGGTGTCTTTTACCCTGAATGAAGTGTTAAAGAAATAAACATAACATTAAAATTGAAGGTATTTAGTTCTTCCATTCTCCACTTCTTTGATTCACCTTTTCACCAATTCTCTTTTATACCAGTTCAGATGGCAGTAACCTAAAAGTAGTGAGGGGATATAGTCCTTTAACAAAAGGTGATAAACAGTAACAGTTCCTTCAAGAAATGTAAGGACTGGGCATAACAAACCAAGGCTCACCTATTTTAGTGATCTAGTGACCATGACTTCTTAGAATCTTTTGGGCCAAATTCCTATAGGATTTTGATATAGTTGAAAGGACATCTCAAAACATGTTTTTTTTTTTTTTGAATACCCAAGCATTAACATATACTGAGTATACTAAAAGGAGAGCAACATTTAGAATATTAAATTATTTATTTAAAAACCTGGTCAATGAAAACTGTTGTCCTATGGACCAAATGCACTGCTAGTGATCTGACCTTGGGCAAGCTACTTAACTACACTGAGCCTCAGTTTCCTAAACTTCAATATGGAGATAATTCTTATTTCATGAGATTGTTAGAAGGATGAAAAGAGATATTTGTAAAACGTTTAGCAAATATTGAAACATAGCATGGGGATGATGTCTATTTTTATAGTTTCAATAATGTGCGTTGACACCACAGCTTTTTATACATGGATTTTATGGAAATACTTATTAGTATTTTGAGAAATACCTGAGATAAATTGTAATATTTTGGTTAAATGGGAACCGAAGCCTGAGGATGTGAAACTTGTTCAAACACATCAAAAGCCAATGAGGACAATCAAGGTCTCAAAACTTTGTAATAATCCCAACACCCTTAGAACACACCAAGTGTCCTCACAACAACAACAACAACAACAACAACAACAAAAANGAGAGAAAGAAGGAAGGAAAGAAAGACCACAGTGATGCATTGGACTTGCAGAGGGAGAGAAGAACATTCCTCGGGCTACAAAGTGGAGTGGGGAGGAAAGGGGGAGGGAGAGGGACATTGGGGATAATTGGGTGGGGGACATGGGGTAGAAATGCAATTTGTGGTAATAGGTACGCTGCCAGTAGGAATCTGGCCCTCACATCATGGGCACAAGGGGTGACAATCAGCTTTGTATCTCATGAATATTCATAACCCCCCCCCCAAACCAGACACAGTATCTAGTTTGATTCCTGAACCTCCCTCAATTCCTGTGCAGCACAGACATTGAGTCGGGAGGCAGAAAGCCTGACTTGGGCAACTCTACACCCTTGCAGGGTTGAGTTGACCTCAGAACAGAAGCTGAGAGTGAAATACCCAAACCTGGGGACTGTATGGAAGATGTATTACAGACTTAGAATGGGTTATAGCCACTGAAAGCCAAGAGAAAGGTAGTGGAGGGCTTTAAAAGGTAGTATATTAATAGAACTTATGAGGAATAATAAGGCCAACTGATCAGGAGACAATTGTCATTGAAAAGATAGTTTGTTACAGTTCTCAGGAGGAAGGAGCATGCCATGCCATGGGTGGAAATCACCAGGGTTGATTAGGAGGCTGAGGGAGAGAGAGGAACTATGGCTTAAAGCCTTCATTGTGGTTTCTGTGGGAAGGAACAGGCAAGGAAGTGTAAACAAGCTTAGGATTGGCTAGTTCTAATGATTTCAGCTCTGGGGCAAAGAAGCACCTCTAGTTGTCTGGTACTTGGCCCTGGAATGATTAAGGCAGGTGTACAGTGACTCAGAGTGTGAGAGCCTGATAAAGGAGGTGGTTGGGAGTATGGACTCTGGATTGATTTAAATCCACCCTCCAACCCCCCCAGGAGAATTCCTCCTCTCTAGGTAGGGAGGGTCAGGTGTACAGTGACTCAGAGTGTGAGAGCCTGATAAAGGAGGTGGTTGGGAGTATGGACTCAGGATTGATTTAAATCCACCCTCCAACCCCCACAGGAGAATTCCTCCTCTCTAGGTAGGGAGGGTTAATGAGGGAAGCAGGAGACTGAGGCAAGGTGACTCAGGAATATTATCAAGATGTCCAGAACAAGGTGTGACTAGCATATGCATATATGGCAGAGGTTAAAGCATCAAGTTTATAGAAACTAGAGACTTGGTTAATGCAATGAGTCAGCAGTGATATTCCACCAGGCCCTGGCCAAGTCAAGGAAGAAAAGTCCACAAATTTACAGCTGCAAATACCAGCAGTGGATACCAGCAGAATGCCCCCAGATGGACCAGGTCAACCATGTCAAATAAGTATGCCAGACCAACCATTGCACAGTGGGGCCTGCAAGGGTCTGGAGTTGACCAGGAGGATGAGGTCATTCATTCTACAACTACTGTGACCCATATGTCAATGTAGAGTGAGTGGTGTGTGTAAATAAGAGGAAGGGCAGGAGTAGAAAAAATAATACTGATCGTTTTTACCCAAAAGACATGATATCTAACAAAAGATTTCTTTATTTATTAGATTGGATGATATATTAAATGGGATTAGACTATTCCCCTGTACCTAGGGGATTATGAGGGAGATTATGTCAGTTAGAAACAATATGCATGATAGTTTGCTCAATAGTGGAAGTTATGGTGAGTGAATTTGCAGTCTTATTATACTGATTACATCTCTTTCTTCCAACCCCTTGTAATAAGAAGGTGGCTTGGATATTGTATTGGGTGAGAGCTGGAACTAGAGAAAATAGAAATATGGGACTAGAAGAAGAGATCTTTCCTCTTTTTTTATTTACAAAGGATCATTTCAGAGTTAGGCAGATAATAGAGATACTTAGTTCCCACAGTGTTTTGGGTTCATGGTACCAATTAATTCTCCTAGGGTTCTGTGAGTTTGACCAATACTTACCTTTTTTAAATAACTGCAGGACCCCCAAAGGCCTTATATACAGTCATCCCTCAGCATCTGTGGGGGATTGGTTCCAGGACTCCCTTGGATACCAAAATGTCATATAAAATAGTGTAGTTTTTACAGATAACCTAAGTACATCCTCCTGTATACTTTCGGTCTTCTCTAGATTACTTAGAGTAACGAATACAATGCTGACACATCACTTCATTTGCATGAATTCAACACAGTACTCAGTGCTCAGAAAATTCAACTTTTGCTTTTGAAACTTCATGGAAATTTTTTTCCCAAACATTTTAAATCTGCAGTTGGTTGAATTCACGGATGCAGAACCCACGGATATGGAGGGCCAACTGTACTAAAACAGAGGCTTGGGGCACTCATTAAGTTATGACCTAAACAACAGCCTCCATTTCAGTCTTCAGGAATAATTAACCACTTTATTATTAAGGCTGGCAAAAGTGGAACCAATTTTGCACAGTGAGATACTGAGATTAAAACACTTCCTTACCTGCTTTTTCATTATCTTCAACAAATACTGAGTGCCCAAAAAGGACAAGGTATGGTACAAGACATGGAAGATAGAGGGGCCAAGAAGACACAGACCTGCCTTCAAGAAGTTTATAGTTTGGTGAAGAATACAAAGGTATTATCAAAGTGGTGACAGAGATATTTGGGTTCTACAGGAACATATTCTTGGAAATTTGGGAATGACTTTCTGGAAAAAGGGCTGTTTAAGCTAGTCATAAATGGCTAGTAGATTAGCCAGGTGAAGAGTGAAAAGAGTAATGTGAAAAGACCTCAGGAGCAAGCGTTTAGCATATCAGGAGAAGTAAAAGGAGCATTACTAAACTCCTACTACTGCAACTAGTACTAGTGCAAACCAGCTCCCATGTGCTATAGGATTGCCAAAAATGTTTTCTGAATCTTGAATGTAACTCACTCAAAAGACCTCAGGAGCAAGCGTTTAGCATATCAGGAGAAGTAAAAGGAGCATTACTAAACTCGTACTACTGCAACTAGTACTAGTGCAAACCAGCTCCCATGTGCTATAGGATTGCCAAAAATGTTTTCCGAATCTTGAATGTAACTCACTTAGCCATCTGCATTTGGAGACTGATAGGCAGAGGCTCATATTTTAGCTTTGAGACCTTAAAGAATTTATTTAACATCTCAAAGCATCTGTTTCTTCGACTGTAAAATGAGCACAATACCTTCTTTGAAAAATTATTATGAGGATTAATTGAGATAAGTTAGTGAATATCAAGCATATTTCCCGGCTCTCTTTTCTTCAAACAGTTGAAGAGTTCCTTGCCTGTTATGACATTTTTCCTAATTAAAAGATATTACTACAGTTTGCCCCACTTTTTAAGCTCATAGCAATTAATGGGAAGGCTTTCTTTTTTTCTGTGTGAACCCCAAAGTAAACTCCAAGAGTAAGGATCAATGGAGTGATAAACTTCTTTCATAAGTGATTTTAGCAGCTAAGATGAGAATGTGTCACTTCTGATGGTTAAGTCATCAAAGGACAGAAAAGCTATTTGGGAAAAAGATCAGAAATGACAGAAAGGGCAAAACTTAAATCTGGCAAATTCTTGGCATTTCATGACCAAGGAAGAAAGGGATAATTATAGTGCTCTTTCCCTTCAAGCTGAGATGGGACTTCAGAATCCATTTCAATACTGAGTTCCTGGCAGTGACTACCACGTAGATTACTACTCCTAGGAGAGTTCCCTGTGGAGAAACTAAAGAAGAAAAGGCTTCTGTGGGGAAAGAGATTTCCTTTTATTCCCAGAGGCATCCTCTTCAGAGACTCCCTTTCCTGTCATAGAGTTTGAATCAGCCTCCATAGAGCAGCAGCCGAGGGACTTCTTCGGGGTTGGGTTGCTGTGTTCCAAGCTTGATCAGGTCAACAGTTGCAGCAGCCTGAGAAGATGCTGTAGTATACAGTGGGAATTGTTTGCTGTGGTTATTGTTTGTTTTCTTTTTTTTTAATGTTCTAAAGGCTAGTTTGTGGGTGCGACACAATGTTCGAAGCCAAGGTTTGATTCTTTACATGAGCATAGACTGTACAACTTAATTAATCGCTTCAAAAATGTATGCTATTTGCCAAAAGTGGGAATTCTTTAAAAGAGTTAGGTTATAATTCATCACTCCTTTAAAAACAAGAAAAGAGGAGAGAATGAAAGACAGCAGAATGACAAAGGAAAAAAGAAAAAAGAAAATCGCAATATTCTGTGAGTCAAGTCTGCTTGGTACATGAAAGAGAATGCAGAACTACAAACAAGACCAAGAGCTGCAGACACAGAAAAATAGTCAAAGAGCCAAATGTGCTTTTGACACCAAGAAGTCTGCAGGAAAAAGAAAGACCAACTCCTTAACAGAAAAGGAAAAATTTTATTCTTTTATTAGGAGATGAAGATACCCTAGAGCCCAACAAATCAAAAAAACTCATGATGTCCGGAGTCAAACTCCAAATCTTCCCTCTTCAACCTATTCCTTCCCCAGTCTTCCCTATCTCAGTAAAAGACACCCACCATCCACCTTCTTATTCAAACTGGAATAGTGGCATCTTTCCTGACCCCTCCCTTTATTTATTTCATCCCCACACCCAATCTATCAGCAAGAGCTGTCAACTCTACTTCCACAATATATCCTAACCCAGCTAATTCTCTCCATCTCTCTGCCATTTCTCTAATTCAAGCCATCAGTGTCTCCAGTCTCTACTCTTGCATCCATGTCCACACTAGTTTCCCTGCATCCCCTCTTGCTCCTTATAATCCAGTATCTGCAGAGCAGCCCAGAGTGATCTTTAACAAATGGATATCAAATAATGTCACCTCCCTGCTTAAAACCACTTCATGCTTCCCATCATAAATAAAATAGAACTTAACAGGACTCAAAAGATCTGCCCCTACCCGCCTTGGTGACATTTTCCTGACATTCCATCCACCACCACCCCTTGTGAATCAGTTCCATGTTCTGAATAATGGAGAGAGACTATGAATCTCAATGATCTAATACAGCTTTTGTAGAAATATTTCACAAAATGCTTCTGAGGCACATATTTAGTCACACTTTTTATTGTGAGAAGCATTTTATTTCACATACCTACACACAAAACAATATTTTCTATGTAGGAATTCCTAACTCTTTTGTCTTTTTATAAGCAACTTATAAATAAAGGGAGTTTTTTTGGTTATGCAAATTCTTATGAAAGCTTTTTTAGAAAAAAGAATAAATACAAAGAAAATTACTTTCTTTCTCAGTCAAGGTGATAATTTTCAAATCATGCTTAAAAAAGTCTACCATTCTAGCAGCATAGCTCTATCAGAAGTATTGAGGAAGAGTGGTGACAGGGACTTACGGAAAGAGGAATGTTTGGGATAAAGAGTAGGTACAGCTTAATATAAATAGGAGTTTCCAGTTTAGGAGGGAAATAGCAGAAACAACATGGGGGGGAGGGAAGAAATGGAGAAAAGAAAGAAACCAGACTATCTCTCAGAATGCTTGGGGCGGTTTTCATGTTCTATAAAACTCAAGAGAAAAAGAAGTAAAGTAAGAGAGGGGAGGAGGAGAGAGAGAAGATTAAAGGAAGGTAAGAGGAGAATTAAAGACTCATCTTGGTCTAGATCCTAAATTTTTTGAAACTCTAAGTTACCCCCCAATGTCACTGCCAAGAAATGTAGATATACACACACACACAGATGATGTGCATTTGCATTAGACACAAAGATAGTCCTTAAAATGCTTCAAAGCATAAGTAATGAAAGGCAGGAAAACCACCAAAGCATAGAGTGCTTTCACAAATTATGTAAGTTAGTGTTTTTGCTATTCAGCTAATCACATAAAACTGAGGTATATCTTCTGACTTATAAGGACATGAGTGGACATATAAATTCATTGCTTACCTCTTTTAGAGTATTGGGGCTAACAGGAAACCCTTTTCCCCCAGAGAGGCTGGAGGATTTCTTTTCCAAATTACAAAGATTCTCCTTTTCCTAAAGGAATAAGATATCTATTAAGGTTGGAGTCAACTGAGAAGTACAGCAACTGTGCATTAGAGACAAACATCAGAATCTCATGTATCTCCTCCATTTGTGTTTCCGCTCCTTGTTACAGTCAAAGCTTGAAACTGTGTATTGAAGAGCTCATCTTCTGCTAGTTCATATGATGCCTAAGTTGTTTACAAAAATATTTAGATATATAACTCTTCATTCAAGACATTTTATAGAGTGACAGTATGTATTTAAAAAAGGGAAAAAAAAAGGGTAGCTGTTCTAGTTGAATCAAGAATGGGCGCAGAAGCCCTGTGACGCCTTCCAACTCTCAGAGTCTCCCTCTCAGCCTTTTATCTTTCACTTTTCTAAAGTCTATTTTTTAAATTTTTAATTGACACACAATAATTGTACATACTAGTATTTATGGAGTACAATGTGATGTTTCAATACATGTATACACTGTGTAATGATCAAATCAGGGTAATTAGTATATCCACCACCTCAAACATTTATCATTTCTTTGTGGTGAGAACATTCAAAATCCTTCTTTATCTGGTTGTTAGTATTAGTGTAATGCTGGCCTCACAGAGTAAGTTAAGAAGTGTTTCCTCATATTCTATTCTTAAAAAGATTGTAGAGAATTGGTGTGATTTCTTCTTTAAATGTTTAATAGAATTAACCAGTGAAACCATCTCTAATTTTCAGTTTGTGAAGTATTTTTCCTGCTGTGACAATGGGAGTCATAGCCTTCATGTTCTTTACATGTCAGAGCTGAAAGGGGAAGTCCTATCGAACCACTTTTAATCTGTTATTTATTAATTTTAGTGGGCTTGGAAGCCTTATCACTAAATTTGTTAGAATTGTGTGTAAATTAACTTTAAGTAAGGCAACAAACACAAGATATTTTATTGTTTGGGCTTTGAGATATCAATTTTTGCTACAAAGAGTAGGCCCAAAACCATTTTCCCCTGCTTCTTTGTTTTGCTCTGTATAGGAGAGAATGCTGTATAGAGATGAGTGACTCTTCTCTTTCACTAGAGAATTCCATCCCAATTGATAAAGTTGGGCTTTGGGAAACAAGGATAAATTTCACAAAATGTGAAAACTAATAGTGAAAATATTTGGTTGTATTTTTCTGTTTTGAACTAATACTTCTAGTGTATTTTTTATTCAGAATCATTCTAAGCCTATAAAACCCCCCAGAAATGTCTAGTTGTTCGAGTTCTCCTGAGCAGGGTTGGGTTGTGAGTTGTTGGACGTCAAAAAATAGTTCCTTAAATTCCAGTGTGTGCAGATCCTAAACTAGATTCTGAGCTTTCAATTGTTTCTGTTTTTTTTTATCCTGAAGAACCAGAAGTATGGCTGAGGGGAAGGGAAGGGAGGGGACACTTGTTAGTGTCATCTCTCTCTTTGTCCCCTGCACCAAATAAGATGGTCCCCCTCTTCTGTTGAACATTCAATTTAATTGACCCATGTGGGTAAGACAGAGAGTGTTGGGACTAGCTCTTTCCCCATCTCTTCATTTCCTTAACAAGCATCTAAAACACTGGCATATTGCTGTGTATTCTTTGCTTGCTGAGTGAGTGAATGAATAAAGGAAGCATAGTTTTGGATAAGGGAAAATGAAGACTCTAGTTTGAGGCTTTTATGGGACAATGAGACACACTGGGCATAATGAGTCTTATACCCTTTCTTTCAATTTTTTACTTGAAAAATGACTAAAAAGCACCATTCAGTTCAATATTAATGTAGTGGATTGAATGTCCCCCCAAACTCACTGAAGCTTGAATTGTATCTCCCAAGTTTCATGTATTAGAAACTCAGCCCCCATCTGTGACTGTTAAGAGGGCAGGAAATCCTATTATGGTAATTGAAAGGTGGAGCTTTGAAGAGGTGATTAGATTGTAGGACCATGTAGTAGTGAATGGATTAAAATGGTGGTCATGGACGTGGTTTGTAGGGCTTTAAAAGGAGAGTGAATGATGAGGTTAGTCTCTCTTGCTCTCTCTACTTTACCACTTTTGCAATGTGATACCCTGCCATCACTGAAGTCATTACTAAAGAAAGCCATCACCAGATGTGTTCCCTGGATTTTGGACTTCCCAGCCTCAGAAACTATAAGCAATAAATTTCATTTTCTTTATAAATTACCCAGTATCAGGTATTTTGTTGTAAGCCACAGAAACAGACTAACACATTTAACTTTTCAGTTGTGGGCTTAGAACCTGATTATGTCTAGCAATAGGCAGGAGGAATGAAACGAAAGTGGTATGGAGATTGGCTGAAATTTTATTTCAGGGATGTGTGAGTCAGAGTGAAAAGTTCTATTATGACAATTTTTATTACATGTGAAATGTAAAATGTCTAGATACTTTTTCATTGATATTGCCTTATGAACATTACATTCAATGTAAGTATATTACATGAACAAAAAAGCAACAAAATGTGTGATTTTTTAAAAGTTTTATTTTATTTTAATTGACAATAATTGTACATATTTAGGGGATATAATGTGTTTTTTTTTTTTGTCTTTTTGTCTTTTTCCGTGTCTGGCAACGGATCGCAACCCTCAGTGTTGTCCCCGTACCGGACCGGGGACCGGCAACGGGACCGCAACCCTCGGTGTTGCTCCCGCGCCTCGCTCAGTCAGTGAGCGGGAACCGGTCTGTTTGTGGGATCCGAACCCTCGGGCAGGAGCGCCGCCGCGCTTCCCAAGTGGCGCACTTATCCA